TGCATTCTTAAACTCCATGGAGCATTTACCAATTCATTTTCCATATAGGCTAAAATTGATTGAACTTGAATGAATACGGTTTCTAAAATATGTGAAGTGCTCATTTCATGTGATTTTAAGCCATAGGCTCCTAAAACTATGTGTGTATTGGCATGGTAGTAGAAAGAATGAGTTCATTTGATTAAAAACATAAAAAAAAAAGGCAAGGTAGAAGCCATATAGGCCAAAATTGGTTGAATTTGGATGAATATGGTTCCTAAAATGTGTTATGTGCTCATTTCATATGATTTCAAGCCATAGGCACCTAAAACTATGTATTATTGGCATTGTAGAAGAAAGAATGAGCTCATTTGATTATAAACATAGAAAATGGGCAAGATAGAAGCCATATAGACCAAAATTGGTTGAATTTGTATGAATATGATTCTTAAACTGTGTTAAGTGCACATTTATTTTTTATTTCAAGCCATAGGAACCTTAAAATATGTGTTATTAGCATTTAGTTTAAAAAATAATGTCATTTGATTATAAACATAGAAAATGGGCAAGGTAGAAGCTATAAAGGCCAAAATTGGTTGAATTTGGATTAATATGGTTCCTAAAATGTGTTACATGCTCATCTCTTGTGATTTCTATCCATATGCACCTAAAACTACGTATTATTGGCATGTTAGAAGAAACAATGAGTTCATTTGATTAAAAATATAGAAAATGGATAAGGTAGAAGCCATATAGGCCAAAATCGATTGAACTTGGATGAATATGGTTCCTAAATGTGTTAAGTGCTCATTTCATGTTATTTTAAGCCATAGACACATAAAACTATGTTTTATTGGCATGTTAGAAGAAAGAATGAGTTCATTTGATTAAAAACATAGAAAATGGGAAAGGTAGAAAACATTGTTGATAAATTTGCTTGAATGTTCAAGAAAAAGAACCGTTACCTTATGTTGTTGGTTGTTTTTTTTGACAATTTTTTTTAATATCATGTATATTTTGAAGTAGACCTACCAAAAGAAGATCGAAGAAGCAAAGAGTCAAGGGATTCGGAAGAGTCCAAATGAGTCGTTGTACTGGGAGACGGTGGGTGGGCGCAATAAGAAGGGTCGTCGCGTGAAGGGTCTTGGCCAAAGTGTAGAGTTGTACTATGGCAACCGGATGGGTCGCGTATCCAGTTCTTCACAAAAATACACGCCTTCTATCATTTCTCAGAAGCAAGATAAAATGGAGCATAGGGTGCAAGCTCTCCAAACTCAAATGGAAGTCAATATGCAAAGCCAAATTAAATCTAAAGTGGCCGAAATAGAGAGGAGATACAAGGAGAGTATGGATGAAATGATGAGTCATTTCACCAACAACGACTCATGTTCTACCATTCGTCCTCAGCATCGAGACCCTAGGGACGACCCGGGTAGTGGCGGAGCAGGCCAGGGTACCCCGACGATTGTTTAGCTTAGCTTCACTCTAGTATAGCTTCACTCTAGCATAGCTTAGTATGGACTTTAAATTAGATCAGATTATCTTTTGTACTAGGACATAATTTACATATATATGTAAATAAATATAATTTCTTAGGTCGTTAATTAATTTATTCTAAACAGAAACTTCTGAAGGTATTCAGGTTTTACATTATTTTATTCAAAACAAAAATACAAATCTAAAATTGTATTTTTTGAATTATATTTCCGACGGTTTTACAGGTGATTCCGACGGAATAAATCCGTCGCAAACTGCATATTACAACGATGGAAAAAATCCTGTCGGAAAATAGCGACGGAAATGCCCCTTACAATTGTCAGACATAATAATTCCGTCGGAAGGATGCTATTTCCGACGGAAAAATTCCATCACAAAATGCTTTTTCCGATGGAATTTTTTCCTCGGATTATCCCATTTTCGACGGTCACAAAATCAATTTTCCGACGGATTTTCCATCGGAATATTGCGACGGAACTTCAGTTTAGGTCAAACTAAATTCTGACAAAATCATTTCTGTCAAAATTTGTCCAATTTCCTACAAAAGGTATTCCAACAATTGTTTTCGACGGAATTTGTATTTTTCTGACGAATTTTTTCCGTCGCAATCAAGATGTTTTCTTGTAGTGTCAGTAAAACCTGTGCGTTGCACGGTACTTTAACTAGTTTACTCTAAAGTCTAAACCCTTAGAGCATCTTGTAGGCGTCGTTCAAAGTGCGCCTACGTTAAAGTATGTGTGAATATGATTGGCACTCATAGGAAGTGGGGATTGACATATACGATTAGGGACAAGGAAAGTAGGGAGCCGCCAACAAGTTTTTTAGGAACTTGTAAACCGTTCACGGATCATAAAAGGCAACCACGGTTAAGGGACAACGATAGGCAACAACGATTGACCCATGAAGGTTACACCCCATTCATAATACATGAGATTACTAACTCCATATGGTTCGGAACCACGAAAGGAGGATCGGGAATGATGGTACGAAGTGAGTCATGGAGTCACATTCGCCCGTATTGGCCTCTACTCGATTCTTATAGCGAAAAATGATTCCTGCGATCTCAAAGGCATACAAACAGAGATTCAATTTGCTCCATACTATTATTAAACTAAATTGGTTGAATATTAATGCAACATATAATTCTAAAATATTGTGATCACTTGATTTAATAACAAGATTAAAAAGGAATCTAAACCGGCTGTCCAAATTATCTTATTAGGCGTGATTTTCAATTACTTATTCCCTTTAAACATGCAATATAGTGATCAATAATAACAATAGAATAAACATTAATATTGGAAGCAATTTAACAATAATAGCGTTAGTCAAATCAAATATAAAATAACCCTAATCATGATACTAGCAATATTAAAATAAAATAAGAGCAATTAAATTAATTAATTACTCACATTCCGCACGTTCCTTTAAATTGCTACATCATGAATAAACTGTTAGTAACTTCAATAAAAAAAATATAAAGTAAATGAAAATTAAATTAAATAAAAGTAGAGTTGATTTGGTCCAAACCCTCAATTATTTGTACCTTTCATGCCTTGGTTTAAGGACGGAACCTCGGGTTAAGTATAGACTCCTTGGAGTGCTTAGGGGAATTATTATGGAAGAATAAGGAGGCTAGAAATTAGGTTAAAGAGGGAGAAGAGAATGATTTTTGGTGTAAGGTGAGAGAGAATGATTATTGGTGCACCGAACTGCAGAAATGAGGGTCTTATTTATGGGGAAATTAAGTAGAGGGAACACGCGGAACCCTAAAAAGATAAAAACCCTAAAAATTAACACCGCGACACGCAGAAAACATCGTGACACGGTGGCAGGCACCGTCAGACAGGGGAAGGCACCGAAGGGGAAAAATCCCGTGACGCGGTAGACAACTGGAGTGACACGGGAAATATTTGACCTACGGGAAGTGAAAACGCGTGAAGGGTTTACGCGGAAAAGACACGAGAAAATTTCGTGTCACAAGGTGTGCATCGTGACACGAGAAGACATACCGTGACACGGTGGATTTTTTTGCGTCCAAATTCATAAGCGCGTGGGAATGAAACGCGGAAAAGACATGAGAAAGCACCGTGACACGGTGAAAACTCCCATGTCACGGTACCATACCCCGTGCCACGTCATCATCACCCGTGACGCGGGAAATTTACGCGTTAAAAGAGTGCGGAAATAAGCACGGGAATTCCCAAGTCACGGCACCAGGCACCGTGACACGTTGAGAATTCCCGTGTCACGGCACTAGGCCCCGTGCCACGTCACTTTTCCCCGTGACGCAGTGGAAAGTGACGATTCCAGTTTTTTTACACGTTTTTCAAATTGCGATAACTTTTGATCTGTAACTTGGAATAATGCATATAATATATCATTGGAAATATTATCAAGTATACTTTCCAACCCAATTTGAATCAGGTCAAAATGATATTTAGATTTTAAGATATGGCCGTTTTAGTGGAAGGGTGTCGGTTTTGGGCCGAGTTTAGTGTTTTGCTCATATCTTTTTCGTTATGGCTCGGAATTGGGCTTATGATATATGGTTGGAAAGCTTATTTCAAGGCCTATTCATCCAAATAATAACTGGATCAAAATTATATAGCCATAAAATCAGTTTCTCTCGGTTTTGCGATGTGGACACGAAAAGTGGAAAATTGGTTATGGTTTAGGGAAATGAGCTAGAAATTGGATTGGTTTATGAAATATATTGGATAGAACATGGATTTAAGCACTCCAAAGATTAAATACTCAACCCGACCAATAATGGCAGTGAAAGGTATTCATCAACGGGTTTGATTTTGGAGAGACATTTTTAGGTATCTACACATCTCTAATGGTAAGTTATTCCACGTCAATTTTTAAGCTACAACACTTTATAGCAACAAAGTGTTTCAATAGTAAGCTACAACATCTTGTAGTTTGAAATAATATAAAATTTTAAAAAATAAATAAATAATTGTACACATGTTATAATATGAGTGACGTTTATTTGTCTATTTTTTAATCAAGCATGTAGCATGTTTGAGCTACATTAGTTTGGATGTTGTTCAATTTTTTGTTCTCCTTGATAAGCATGTAGCTTGAAACTTCATTTTACTCGCTCTGTTTTTAAATACTTGCTCCATTTGTCCATGCGCGGAGTTTTAGGAGAAATTGAAAAAAGTAATAAAATATAGAGGTAGTGGGGTAGGTGGCCTGGAAGAATAAAAAATTCTAAAAAGCAAAAGTAATGGGGAGAATTAGAGGTGAAAGGATATGAAAATAATAAAATATGATTATGGTGGGTCCGCTAGGTGAGAGAAAAATTAATTTAATATTGTAAAAGGTTTCCAAATAAGGAAATTGAGCAAGTATGTAAAAACGGCCGAATAAAGAAAATGAAAAACGGAGGAGTATATTGCAAGTAAATCCTTACAATTGAATCATTGCACATACTTTTATAAGGTCTTCCGTGCCCCATGATTGGACAATCGTATAAAGACTCGGCCCATTTATTTATTAGCTGGATCTAACCCCTTAAGGCCTTAATAACTGTAGCGGGTCATGGGTCATGGCTTTTAAAAGGTATCCAAGGCGTCCAACCCATTGAATTGCTCTCTATCAGATATCCATTGAAGCGCAGTTGACGTTTTCCGTTGAATCTAGTTCTTGTATCCCCATTGAAGCACCTTCTGAGGTAAGTTGTTTGTATCTGTTATCATCATATCAAGTGTCCCTAAAATTATGAGATAATTGAATCAAATATCCCTAAAATTATGAAATAATTTGGTTGCTAATGTATTGCACAACCCTTAATGTTAGGATTCAACTATGAAATTAGAGCTCTTTTCCCTCCTGCCCTACCTCAGGGACGGGCCTGGATGTATTGATTTGTTTTTCAATCACTTTCTTGAATTTTTGTAAATATTTGGGATTGTCAAATTCACGGTGAATTGAATTTTGAATTGGTGCGTTGTGATTGTTGCAGAAATGGGTTTTATCATGGAATTTGCAGAGAACTTGATTTTGAGGTTGATGGAAGATCCGAGCGAAAGGGATAGAAAATTCAGGGATCACCTGTATACGCTTCAAGATCGGTGCAAGAAAACCAAGGAAATGTGGAGTATGCCATTGAGGCCATATGGGTTTTGGACCTTTGAGCGTCATAACTCTCAGCTTGCTTGGGATGCTCAGATTACCAATGTAACCGGTCGTAGGGATCCCTATGACGAGGTCCTCGAGGGGACTACTAAATAAATATTCAGGTTTTCGGCTCTTCGCCAACTCTTTTACAGTGATTGATGTTTCTGCTTTGGTATTTAACATTTGAGGGTGTTTGCATCTTCTTTTGTTGTTCTAAACTGTGACATTAGGGTATTATGTATTCGTGTGATATTGGAACTTTTTTTTGCATCATCTTTTGTTGTTTGTGGTATATAGACCGAGTATTAGGTTGGTCTGGCACTGTACTGAATGATATCTACTCTCTTCTTACCATTATGGAAAGGACTGTTGGTTTTACTTGAGCAGTTTTGCCTGACATGCTTGATTAAAGTGATTAGAGGATAAATAAATAAATAAATAAAAACCCTGGAAATGCTTGGTGAAATGAAAAGACATGCTTGTGTCAATGTTCGAACTTAGAAGTAACAATATTGGATGTATATTGCCATTTACATTCTAAATGTGTTGTGGACTAGTGAGAATTTTGATTTTTAAATGCTTTGAAGGAGTAGTGAGTTATATCATGTAGCGTGGTTTGAGTTTAGAAGCAGATTATTGATGTCCTGATCTTTGATCATCTTATGGTTATACATTTGAACTTTGTTTGAGGAAGTATTAGGCTTTGCTTGGGACTATAATTAGAGTGTGACATCATTTTTATCTCTTTGATTGCTGCTCTCTCTTATCCCTTTCCCTTAGTTTGTCCAAGTTTGTTCAAGGCCATCATCTGAATCTCATTCATTTTGCAGTAATTAATTTTCACAACCTCATAGATGTTACCCCTAAGGTTCCTTTGGATTGTGATGATTACAAACCAACAAATGTAAGCTATCATTTAAAACAACAATATATATTTTGGTTGTGTAAATTTGTTTTGTTGGTTGAGTTGTGAATTTAGTATGTGAGATTAGCTTAAAGATTCTCAAAGGTGATGAGATGCTATTTTTTTTTCAAGCAAAGGTGATGAGGTGCTTGAAGACAGGGTAGGTTGCTTGTATATGTCTATAGAGCCTTTTTCTTGTAAAATGCTTCGCTATTATGTAATATTAGTTAAATCGAGTATGTTTACGTTTATGTCTAATGGAACTATCTCCATGTCATACCAAGAAGAGCGTGTCAAAGATTTTTTCTTTGAAGAATCTTTGTTAATCTTGTGTTGCAGCCTTGCACAAATTTAGGATTTTTTTGGAGTAAAATCAGTTGAATGTGATTTTGAATGGATGGAATACTGGTTATATTGGTCATATTAGTACTGGGCTGCCCAGTTCATGAAGATGAGGACTTTATCAATAACAAAGATAGAATTGTTGTTGTTGTTTTTTTTTTTTTTTTTTTTAAATCTTTTTGTGCTATTTTCTAAAGTATTAGAAAATTGAAACAAATAGTTTAGGATCCGTTTGTTATCACTAAAGACACTAAAGTATTTAATTGTTTTTTGTTTCAGAAAGTCATATGGTGCACGGTATCTCACAAAAAGAATAAAATTTATCAAACATATTGGAGTTATCATGATTTTGAAATCTGGCAACCACTTGTTCTAGTTTCTTCTTCATCTTTTTTATTTATTTATTTATTATTTTTTTTTATAATCAGTTAACAAAAACAAAAACAAAAGGGTTCTAAGTAATTTTAAGTAGTTTCTACCACGTTTACCTTCATCTTGGCAATTACTCTTCACATTGCAATTGATCCTATGTGTGCTTATTTAAATAGAGATTTATTAAGGTTCAAATTATGTTGGGGGGTTGAAGCAAAAAGGGGTGACAATTATTTCTGGGCCATTGGAAGATTTGCAACAAGGATAATTTTTACCAAAAGAACTCATAATTGCTAGATGACTTGTCATATGTTTGAGGTTTAAATGTTGTGCATTATCTTCAGAAAGGTTTAGTTGCTAACAATGCAAGACATTAACGAAGATTCTAGTATTTTGATGGCAAGAAGAATGTTTAAAACTCCAACAAACGGGATGTAATCTTGTAGAGATTTTGTAACTTGTTTGTAATTGCTATTGCACTTTTATGATTTTAATTAATTATTTTCATTCTTGTTTGTCTAGAATCTAGATTCTCTAGAAGCATGTTATGGTATATTTCTATCTACTTCTGCCGAGGCAAGTGATGAAGCCGTGCTGCCAGCTTGCTCTTCTTCTTCTTCTTTTTTTTTTTTTTTTTTTTTTTTTTTTTTTTTTGGTTATTTCAATCTACTTTGTAGTATATTCATTTCGGGGCATTTGGATTTTGGAGGGGTGGGGCTTGGGTATGGGGATGAGAATTTTTAAATTTATTGGGGAGGTGGTACTATATGTAAAGAGTACCATTATGACATGCATTCTTAGTGTTTAAAAATGTGCTTATTGCTAGTATATGACATATTCTGGGTAAAATGATTTAACACAAACAAACAAAGTAAGAAACTTTGCATTTACCCAATTACAGGAAACCTGAAAGGGCATATAAATCCTCTTAACCGAGTTGGTAGAGCACACTGTCCACTGTTATGACCTAATATTAATTTTAGTGAACTGGCACCATCTCCTTGTAGAAAGTTGTAGGGTGGTGGGCCTAGGCCTTTAGCTTAGCAATAGCAGAGCTTAGTTTCCCTTCCTTTTTGGTCTTAATTCTTCTTTTTATGTGTTTGTAGTCTATGTGATGGTTTGGCTGGTGCCATTTGTATCTACATTAACTAGGGGTAAATGAGTTGGATAAAATATGCATCAAGCATCTGATTATATGGGCCGTGTTCTCTTGTTGTGCTAGTTCAGTTTCGAGTTCGCTAAAAGTGAAAGTTTTTCCATTGTTTATTATCTTCTACTCTTCCTTTGAGTTGGGTTGTAACTTCAATCATGTGCTTGTGACTTTATGTAATTTGTCTTCAATGAAATATCATTCTTTTGATTTTATTCCTCTACTATGTATGCAAACATTAACATTAGTTGGTCAGATCCATCAACAGTTTAACATCATGTTTTCAATTTTTTTTGCTCTTTTTCCTACCACCTGATGTACATTGCATGTTATTGGTTGCAGTGAAGTGTATGCATGCTGAGGTTCATCTGCTCAAAGTATCTATAACTTCCGGGAGTATGTAGTTGCAAGGCATATGGATTGTGTTTGTCAATTGTATTTTTTTTGTGGTTATCTGGTTTGTGGTAATCTGGATAGATTACCAAGAGACAAAGTAATCATCTTTCCAACTCTATATTGCCTTATTTTTTTTTTATGTTTTGTGTATTTGACTGCTCAATAAAGCAACACATTATCATGTTAAAACCTCTTTTGATTTATCCTGATTTGCACATGCTGCCCTCCATGCACCAGCATATTAGAAAACACATTCATTCTTCAGTTTGCGGTGCGTTACTACCAGTAATGAAATCCACTTTGGATTTGGAATGCAGAATCGCAACCTTTGAACTCTTTGAAAGTTTGAATCTGACAGTATGACTTTTTTAGTATGGCTATTGTCTTTTTTAGTTCACTAGACCTTTGAACAAATCATTTTCCCCCTTTACTATTGTTGTCTCTTCCTGTTGAATTTGTTTGATTTTTAATTATATTCAAAGAAAATTTGTCAATTACTACCCAAAAGAGGACGTTTTGCTACTTATTACTCCTAATAATGAAGTTGCTAACTACTACAAAAACTGATTATTTATTCCTGTTTGGTAGTTAACTTATTGGGGGTATATTAGCTTATTTGACCAATTTTAGTTGATTGAGTAGTCAAACAAGTTAATACAAGTGTTTGGTAGTAAGTTTATTGAAAGAGCCTATTCCACTAAATAAGCTCTTTTTGGAAAAAGCTCATTTTAGGAGCCTTTTCAATTAGCTTATTTATTAATTATTGTGAAATGACACTTATAATCTCATTTAATTTATAATCCCATCTAAACTACCTACTCCACAATTAGCTTATTGGTCATTTCACATACTCAATCATCTTTAAGCTATCAGCTATTTACCAAACACTTTTATATAATCAGTTAATACAATAAGTTAGTCAAATCAGTTAATAAAATCAGCTAGTTAAAATCAGCTAAATCAATCAGCTTTCAGCTTTCTCCAAATCAGGGTCATTATGATTACTACCTAATGGTATTTTTTAGGTGATTCTAGGGTATTTTGATGTAATTTGACAGGAAAATACTAGTGTTTGGGAATTATGAATTCATTTGAAATGAAAGAATTCAATTCTGGATTTTGAAATCTGGAAATTCAATTCCAAATATCATGTTATTTTAAATTTCCAATTTCCAACTCCTCTTCAATGTTTGAGATATAGAATCAAAATGATGTCTTTAGTATCAAATGAATTAAATTGCTGAAGTTAGGTGTTGTTCTTCATTACCAAATTTAATCTCTCTTTCCTCAAATTGCTCTACGTCGCATCATCCATGTCAACGTATATATTGTATCAGTAAGGTAATAATGAATTATCAATTTTTAGAAGATGATGTGCTGCGAGAAAAATACACTTAATTGAGTGTATATGTTTAACTTTAATGGAGGATAGAAGAAAGAGAATATCATTCAAGATGGGAGAATTAGGAGAGAGATAGGAGAGCCATAGAAAAGAAAAGGAGAAACCAATTAAGCTTAATCATCCATGATTAGTGAATTAAAGCTCCCAAGACTCCAATAATGATAACTTGACTCCATTAACGGCAACCAGAAATATTCAAATATAATTATAGATTAGTATTAAATACGGTAAAGTTTAGTCAAATTAAGAAATCAATTCACACCAGATAAGATAATAAAAATTCTTATCATACCAAATTAGATTTTATTAGAATAAGACGAGATCTCGTGAAGAGAATAAGTCCTTACTTTGAATTCACAAATCATACTTTGAGCTGTCAAAAGTTGATCAGATCCGAAAAATCGACCCGAACCCGATTATTGACCGATCCGTTTGAACCCGAAAAAATGGTGACCCGAACCCGATATGACCCGACCTGAAACCAACCTTAGACCCGAGTTAACCCGAGCATTTGAGACTTGAACCCGAACATGAATCGACCTAGAGATGACTCAACCTGAAGATAACCCCTAAATTATTGACTTGAACGGAACCCAACCTGAACCGAAATTGACCCAATCCCGTTATAGCACGTTAAAACCCGAATGTAACCCGACCGGTTACTAACCTGACCCAAATTGAACCCAACTTGTTAAACTGACCCGAATTTAACCTAACGTGTTACTAACCCACCAAAATTTACCCTACCTATTATTAACTCTACTCAAAATGCAACCCGATCTGTTTACTAACCCGACCTGAAATCAATACGACTTATTATTGACCCGACCCAAATTCAACCCGAATTGTTCCTGACCCATTTCGAACTCAACTTAATCTGTTATTGACTTGATCTGATTTTAAATCACCTTAAATTCAATTTAGACCACCATATTAGTATTAATCACAGTATAAATATATAGTTACATTGTCACCTGTGTAGTTGTGTGACTGTGAAAACGAGTTACTATGATAAGTTCAATAATTAGTATTCAAAACATACAACTCCTTACATAGACTAATTATAGCTATTTGCTCAATTCTAATTGTTAGAATATATTAACCCTATATTTGTGATCCGAACTCGAATATGACCCGACTTGGAAATAACCCGACCTGATAGTAACCCACAAATTATTGACACTTGAACCGAACCCAACTTGGACCTGAAAATGACTTGACTTAAAATGATTCGACCTGATTATAACCCGCAAATTTTTTACTTGACGAACCGAACACAACTCAAACCCGAGTATGACTCGACCTGATTACAACCTGCAAATTATTGACTTGAACCGAACCCGACTCGAACCCGAGAATGACCCTAACTCATTTTAACCTGTGAAAACCCGAATTGAACCCGATTTATTATTCACCCGACCCGAATGTAACCAATCTGTTATTGACCCGACCCAAACCCGATAAGATGTATGACCCAATGTGACCCGATTCAAGCATGACCCAACCTGAACCCAACCCGCATAGGTTATGACATTAATCCGAATTGACCCGATCCACACTTATCTGACTCAAACCTGACCTGTTTACCCGAATTGACAACTCTATACTTAGATTAGTTTTTGTAATTTATAGCTACGATAAAACAATAATGTGAAATCTTTTTTTTTTTTTTTTTGGATAAATCATGTAGAGAAATCTGTTTAAATCATATCTGCTTTTACTAATTTTAAAATTGTATGTTGGCAATATTGATAAATGAAAGTGTCAATTAAAAAAAAAGGAAGTAGAATATTAGAAGATGGTTATCAGTTTCTCACTTTGACAAATGTAGGTATTTACAGACCTGGGGTATCACTTTGACCTACTATCTTTGAAAAAGTTCTATTTCCTCTTGATGTCAATGTTGGGAGTTGGGACACAATATCCATATTTTTACCTAACAACAAACACTTATAATGCAAGTATCTATAGCAAGTGAAACTAGTAGATACCTAACCCGGCTACCGCCCTAAACACGCGCATTGAAAAACATGTCTACCAAGGCAAATGTGCATCCTCACAACAAGCTAATGATTTAGATAGTTAATTCTAAGAAAGGTCCCCATACTGGCATACTGCATGGTGATACTGCGGCCAGGGCATTTAGCTTGTACCATTTACTACATTTTGCAGGTGAGTCTTTCAGTTCAAATGCCACCCTCCAAGTATACGTCTGTTTTCCTCCATTACTATCTGTTGTTTAACTGGCTATTTTGATGGCTTACGAAGACCAGGTATCTGCACGAGAGCCAATTCAGGATCAAATTAAAAGAAAATCATCTGTTCATGAAGAAGATATACACAGTACACCCCAGTGATGTAAATAGAAGATGCAAAATGCTACTCCGTATTATTGTATCAGCACTCAAACTGAAAAAGAGATTGCTGATTAATTACATAGTTAAATTGACGCTATTACCTCATTAGCCTTTGTTCCTACCGACTCCCTCTACCCCTTAAATATTTCCCTATATTCCTTTTTGGGTAGTCCTTGCAAAATTGTTCCATTTCCATTAGTTAGCATAGTCTCCAAAATTCCACTCTACTTTTTTATTACCTCACACACCAAAAACACAAATCTACCTACTCACTCAATACAATTTTTTATAAAGTGAAAGTTGAGGATGGGGCAATCTTTAAGGAATGGAAGTAGTATATTATTCACTCGTATCTCCAACGTGCCCATAGAATTGTTTTATGGCTAACTTTTGGTGTTATATGGTTAAAACTTTAATAAAATACAAGTACTACCTATCGAGTAAGGGTGGGTTGTTTCAAGTGAGAGGGGGTAGTTTTGGGGTGAGATGGATTGTTTTGAGTGGATGGCGATGGTTTTGAGGTGGTGTTTGTTGGGTGGTGGTTGGTTACATTGGTGAGTGGGATAAGTTTGAGGTGAGTTTGGGTGGTTTTTGATGGGTAGAGAATGGGGATGACTACTAGCAGTGGTGGTGGCGGTGGTATAGATGGGATGATTGAAAAAATTAGGAGGGAAAATTAGTTATTTAAGCTAGAGGTTTACCATAAAACAATAAGAGGATCACAACAAGGCCAAAGAAGATCCACTGTATAGATGACTAGATGTAAAATAAATAGAAACCACCATGTAGAATTTCCCCAAAAAAATAAAAAAAAAAAAGGTTTTCATATTGAGAAGGGGTTAGAGAATAGATGGTTGAAGGATAAATGGATCTATTTAAATAATTGGTCTTCCATAAAAATTCCCAAAAATTTTTAACGGAATCATATATGTTTTAAATACCGACCTCAATGCCATGGGGGCCTATCCGGTTTCTAGAGATAAAATTGAGGATGAGTGTTGCAAACTCATCCGGAACATCCTCCTGCAATAACAGTTAACTTGTTACAAAAAATTCTCACATGATGGTCAAATTACATAAACACCATAACATGTATTAAACCTGTATGGCATGCCCTGTGTGTCTGACTACCACCATCTGAAACTTGCCTTGCATTTGACCAATAGTGAGAGTTCTATAACAGCAGATCAGATTACATTTTCAGTATGTTTATCAGTATAAAGTTCAGAAAATGGAGGAACCAAGTCAGCATACATCACAGTTCATACAGTTGACCAAATTTATAAAATAGAAAAACCTGCTTTCAAATTTATTCTCAAGATTCAAGAAGGTATAATGAAGTATGCAATTCCTTTGACTCAACAAAGGAAAAAGTACCCCACTACAATCTACAAATAATAAGTGGTTCATAAATCAAATTATGCCAAAAGATATAAATTCTTGAAAGTCAGATATTTGCTCAAGATTTACTGGCTCTAATAATCACTCACTCCATCTCATTGTATGTGCTACATTTCCCAATATAACATAAATATCCCTATATATAATTACACATACCCACACATCTAACACACCAAACTACACAATTCCTCCCTCTCTTACTAATTAACAATAAGATATTTCATAATAAAGGTCCGTTTGTACACTCCATATGTCTGTGCCTAAAATATTAATGCCAAACCCATTTGTGGCAGTTAATAGGGAAGGAGTATATATAAATATGACACTGCCTAATTTTAAAAAAAGAACACTTGGCCTGTTAGCCTCAAATTTAATTTTGTCTAGTTGACATGGTAAAGGGGGTAAGATCAACACAGGATTACACCTAGAATAGAAGAGAGACTTGACCCTTGATTTACAACAAAAGAAACATTTATAATAAACCATTAAAATACATTTCATTATAATCCAAAAGCTAACGGATCACATAATTATATTGCCATTTAACAAAGGGCACCTTCACAAGAACCTAAAAACTGAGAATTGTGGTGCAGCAAAATGAAAGTTGACATGAATATAAGATATGATCACCCAATTAAAATTTGTGACTCTGAAATCGTTCAACATATTAAAGTTCGGCTAAACCTGTCAAGTCTATCAGTTCCTGCCAACAACAGGAGCTTTGGAACAGGAGATGACAAAAACTTTTCTGAAAGGCCTTCATACCTGCAATAGGAAAAGGACAAATAAATTCACTCTTTACTTACGAAATATAATATTCTAACACAAACTATCCTGACATTTCATCAATAATCTCAGACTAATATCTAAAACTTAGGGGAACGGAATTGCTCTCTTCTTATAAATCAAATGTGAAGTGAAAAGCAAGAAACCTAAAAACATGTCAGCCATTAATTACTGGCTTAAACTAGGTCTAGAAAACCTTGATTTGACACTACGATATGACAAAAAGAAGTCGATCAATGATTTGCATTACAAAATCCAATCAATTTAATGACTTAAAAGAATCCTTAGTTTAGTGGCACAAGAAATAGACCTTAAACCAAGTTAATTAAGAGCTAGCTACAAGCAATTTGGTATTGCAATACATTAAAGAAAAGTCAAAACTTGACTTATCACATCAAACAATTAGACACTGACCAAGTAACCAGCACACAAAGTCATAAACATAATTCCTCAGTTCTTGATAAAACATACATCCTCAGTCCTTGATAAACATACACCCTCAGTTATTTATCAACTTGACCTGTATTCTTTTTAAGAAAGTTTCTTTTTATTTCACCTGTTTCCTTTTTAGGCAAATTTAACCTAATAGTTTTACTTATTTACCCTCACCTTTTCAACATAAATTAACATCTTACCCTTCCTCAATTTCTCCACGGCAGCCACCTTCTCCACCACAGCACCACCTGTACCTCTCCTCTTCACAGGCACAAGCTTCCACCCTCCACTCCTCACTCTCCACCTTATGGGTTACTTCGTCAATGTTACAAGGATTACTCAGTCAATGTTTAGGAGTTACTGGATCAGTACTACAGGGGTTACTCGGTAAGTGTCATAGGGGTTACTTTGTTCTTTTACAAGAAGCCACATAGTGTGGGCAGCCGCACACAAAACGTGTAAGAAAACTTTAAATTTCATGTGCAGCATTTGACAAATCATAATATATTTGGTGTTTTGGCTCGATTTTTTTTGGGAAATGACAAGGCATTTATGTGCGCTTTATATAAAGGTAGGCAATCAAATACAGGGTGAGTGTTGTATTTTAACTAAATGGATTGAAATGACCAGCAGGATTGATTGAATGTTGAATGTACCCCATAAGTGTCAAGGGGTAACAAATTCATTATCTTGTACACGAGCATGGGCTTGGTCAACACAAAGATATTATCATCTTTTGCTCAAAATTTTGTTCTTGGGCATAGGGATACAGGTGATAGATATTATGGAGACCATTCAAGAGATGCAATCTTTAAGCTCACTCTCAAATAAAGGAGATAGTCTCCATGATCTCTTTATTGCCTCTAAAGGTTACATCAAAATGGGACAAATATAGTGAAAAATGCAACATCAGTTAAGTTATCCAAGCAGCAGCTCAATTTCCTTCACCTCCTCAGAATGATACTACACCCACCAGCATTCCCATTAGGTATTTTCATCTGCAGAAAATAAGCTCCTTTCTTTATAACTTTTACTCCTTTCTGATTCCAATGTTGTTCAATAGGAAAGTCTTTCAGCTTCTTTAAAAACCTCCTGTGTTTTTGTTTCTGTATGTCCGATAACATAATTTCAAAAAATCAAAAAACAAGACATCACAAAATATAAAGTAAAAATTGTTGGGGTGGGTGATGTGATATTTGTAAATTTTACTTCTGGGTGAAAAGGTAGCAGTCTTCTTATATTCTTATGTTTTTGCCCAGTTGAAGAGCACAGATAGGTCATAATTACCTTATAGCATCAATAGCTAGCTATAAAAATAATCGCTTTGTAATTAGTGACAAATATTGGGATGGGAAAGGTATAGTGGCCACAGTTGGCTGTGTTTGGCAAATGCATTTTAGAATCTCCAGCCAAGCATAGCCTTTACAAAAGGCTGAAGGCTTATAGCATACAATGAAACTTTACTTAGCCAAAATTTTTATAGCTAGAATGCACCATTGTAGACATTCAATGGATTTGGAAAGTTCTTGTATCTCTATTGCATGTTCTCCATCTTTCTTCTTTTAATTACTGTATAACTTCCTCATTGCTTTTCTCATTATAATAAATAGTTTTTAATCAAACCAGAAACAAGAATATGAATAAACATAATCCAACATGATCACATCCAGAGGTTTATTTACCATTACAAACACCGCAAATATTGATATAGTGGGGAATTATTTTTAATTGCAAATATTGATCATATACGATTGCATATTTGCATATAGCAGATACAGGAATTATTGTTATATGTCAATAGTTTTACCCTTTTTTTTTTTTTTTTGGCATATTTGCATCTAGCAAATCCAAAGTTCTATAATGAAGGAATTATTGTTATATGTCAGGCAGTTCTCTAATTTCCTAAACTAAGCTTTTTTTATTTTATTTTATTTTATTTTTTATTTATTATTATTATAAGTTACTTCCTCCAATATTTTATGATTGCAACATTTATCCTTAACACATGATTTAAGAAGGAAATAGTGAAGCTAAATAGATAACTGAAATAACTATAAAATCAGTTAGGAAAGAGTTGGGTTAATATGGTTTTAAACTTTTAAATGAATTTAATTAAGTTGCCTTTTTACCTTTTCTATCATCCTACAGGATTTTTTTTTTTTTTTTTTTTTTTTTTTTTTTTTTTTTGTTTCCTCAATTAGCCAGCTGAATAGGGCCATGACAATGCAAAATTAAATCCCATGCTAATGGGTAGGGTTTAGGTAGGGTCTAGTAATACCCGGACTCGGACCCGTAATTTTTTTCCCATATCCATACCCTACCAGGACCCTTAGGGTCTAAAATTTTTAGACCTTCGGACCCTATGGGTTTGTCATCTTTTTTTAATTGTCTTTTTTTAGTGTACGATTGCATATTTGCATATAGCACTAAAATAAAAAAAATAATTAAAAAATAAAAAAAAAAAAAACCATGAAAACGTTATTAATTTGACAAATCTTACAACAACAATGTAAAAAAAAAAAAAAAAAAACCTAATACGGAGTTCAAATTATTTTAAAACTGACAATTTAGATGGTTTTCTTAAACCGACGATAGAGTACTGAAGCTGAGGAGTGAGGTTTCTTTGTTGGACCGGTGAAAGTGAAATAGAGATATGCAGCAAAGTCAGCTATACATACGCTCCTTACTTACGGTTTACTTTTAGGCTTTACTTTTCAAGTATTACTTTATTTATTTATTTATTTTTTTTATTTAATAAATTGGACGAGTCTAAGTACGGGTCTGGGTTGTACACGCAACCATCCTAGAATTTACGTTTCCAACTAGATGTGCAACAGGTATCTTTTCTAAATTTTTACAATGAAAAAAGAAAGGAAATTCTATTTGGTAACACCGTAGTTTTAAATATTCTCAGTGGTGAATAAAAAAAAAATCTTGTTATCCTTGGTAACTTGAATTTTTTATATTAAGTCTACTATAGCATTAATGATAAATTTTAACTATAGTGTTTTTTTTTTTTTAACATTTAAATGATTCTAGAAATAATTTTTTTACAAAAAATTCACCCCCTTTACTAGGCCACCAGCTAGCCACCACTCCAGCTGCCCAATCCACGCCGGCTCCCAACCGACACCCAGCTTCCGTCCTCACCAACATCCCCAACCTCCATCCTCGCCAACATCCCTGTCGTGCCACGCCATTCCGCCATCCCCCTGCGAATTTTTTAAGCAGTCGAACCCTAATCTACACAATTGAATGTTTGGAGGTTTCGGATGGGCAAGGTGGAGGTGGTTTTGGAGGAACAAATTGGGGAGATTTAATTTCGAGGGATGTTGGGGAGGGGGATTCGGGCAAGGGGGTGGTGAATCTGGAAGAAGGAGAAGTGCAATGGCGGGGGAAAGGTTGTTAGCTGGTGGTTGCGGAGGATGCTGCTGGTTGGTTGATTGCGGTGGTGATGTATTGCTTGCGGGGGTGATTGATTGCGGTGTGGCGAGTTGCGGAGGGTGATTGATAGCGGTGGTTGCGGAGGGTGGCTCTGTTGTTTCAAGGGGAAGGGAGAGGGGGAGGCCGGCGTGCCGACAAGGAAGTGGTCGGGCGCCGGCGTGGGTGGGGGCGGGAGAGTGTAAAGTGGTGGCTGGCTAGTGAGCCGAGAGAAGGGGGTGACTTTTTTTAAAAAAAAAAAAATACTGTGATTTCTTTTTTTTTTTAACGTGAAAAAATAAAAATAAAAAATAAAGTAAACTAACTATAGTTAAATATTTAAATACAATTTATCATTAATGTTATGGTTAACTTAATATAAAAAATTCAGATTTACCAAGGATAATAAGAATTTTTACAATTCACTACTGAAAAAATTAAAAACTATGGTGTTACCAAAATGAATTTCCCAAAAAGAATTTATAATTGAAAATAGGTCTAAGTTATCCAGTTTTAGGATTAGTAGAGAAAGCAATCGTAAAAGGATTCGCCAAGAGTTTTCAAATTTCATGGAGACAAACATTACCAAATCTAAACCATTTTTCACTTACAAAAAACCACTAACTGGTTGGAGTAAAGTATATAGAGATTAACTAGCTAACTTACCACCTGATTAAATGAAAGGCAGGTGAATTACCAATCTTATGAAGTACCTACTTGCTCAGTTGAAAATGTGAATGAAGAATGAGTTCACAAAGAAGGAAGAGATGTCCTCAGTTGAAAGCAAAGACCACCATCAATATTAAATACTTGCTCCATTCCCCTAATATTGCAACAGGGTGGACACGGAATTTGAGAGAAAGAGGGATCCATATGATGAGGAGAGAGCTAGAGAGAAAGCAGTGCATAAATGATAATGTTGCAATATTTGTGACCTAAAATAGTAATTGTTGCAATATAAGGGGAATGGAGGAAGTATTTCTTAATCACAAAATTGAATAACTCTTACAAACCCCAGTAAATCTATCTCAAAATGAGGCTAGAAGAAACTCTATGCCAAAGCTGATTATTACATGAAAGGGAGGCCTCACGAAGAGATAGGAATTCTGCTGTAATCAAACACAATACCAAATCCCCATAGAGTAAAGCACCCTAACAGCTTCTTCTGACCACAGGAAAGGCCAAAACCCCCTAAATCTCATATGCAACAACTCATTGAAAAGGAGAAATCCTGTAAAGCCCATGACTCCCAACACAAGACAAACAACTTTCGACAAAGTTGATAAGCCACTAGACAATGAGGAAAGACATACATGCAAGATTCACAGTTAACACAGCAAAGCCAACAAGATTGCCAATCTTGGACTCTATCTTTGGACCATACCATTAAAACCTACCCAAAGCTAGCATCGATATGAAAGCTTAAACCTTAAGATTGTTTTGAAGGAAATAATTTTTCAACAAATTGATTTTCTCATTTCCTATCGACTGGTTCATAAAAAGTGAAGAAAACAATCTTCCCGAAGGTGGAAAATAGATTTCAGTAGTAGAAGATATATTCCTTTTGAAAGAAAGGAATGCCACATTTTCTTCCGTACGACCCCTACTTCTAATATCCCTTTCCTCTCCTCTTATCAATTTTCTCCCTTTCACTTCCATTTTCCTCTACCGTAATAGTTTTTCCTAGTAAGGAATCAATCAAAAAAAAAAATTACAATAGTGTTTTCCATTGAAAATTGTTTTCTATGGAATATTTTTTTTTTTTTTCTAGAATATAATTTCCATCATACAAATGAAGCCCAAGAGGTATCTTAAGTCTTTCAAGGAAATTGGCTGAAGCAAAAAAAATGGTTATGGGGATGGCAAGATTAAGCAGCCATGAGAAGGCTCACAAAAAATTAAAAGTCCCGAAGAATCAATTAGTTTAGCAGAATGCCTCACTGATATGTTCCCTATATGAACAAAAATATATACTTCCTCCATCCCAAAGAAATTGTCCTCACTAATAAAACGTGTGCCTAACACAGCTGCCAAATCAGTCTTAATTAACTTCAAGCAGTAATTTTTCATTCCTGCACTGGGCCATTAATTTCACTTATTCAAAGTACAGATATGTGTCAGAAGTTTACAGTCACTTGGGGACCCGGAAAATGAGGTATTTGGAGAACAACGATTACGCAAATCAAATTCTCGCCATCCCATAGAGATAGCTATATTATCATTGGAGGTTATTGAATTGAAACGTCATAGAATAAGCATAATGCACTGTGCTGCAGACATGGAAGTTAGCACACTTCTCCACAAAAATAAGACAAAGCACAGAGCACATGAACTATGAAATGATAGTAATCCATATAATCTTATTATCTAATATGGACAAGCCTACTCTCATCCATACATGCATATTAAAAACGAACATAATAATTGCATACCAGCCTCTCCAATACTGTTCTGTTTCTTCCAGACAAGCTCGGTGCACATAACTGCATACAAATATCAGACCAGTTAGTAGACCTGGAGTAAAATATAGCAAATAATCAATTAATAAGAGCTATAGAAATATTATAACATGTAGTGTATACACTCTCTCTGCTCTTTCTCTTTCCTTGACCTATCCTATATTTCTGGATTGCAGGACTCCATTAAATCATGGAAATTCAAGATCCATGTCGTTCATATAAAGGACAAAGCCTTCAATCACAAAATTATTCAGTTCAGCAGTGAATTTCCATAAAAAGTTTTGTAAGACAATTATCTAACATATCTCAATATAATAGTCTTTAAAATAGAAAGTTATAGAGAGAAAAAGGTAACAAATTGGAAAATACTTCATATTGTAGAGAGAAGAGGTAAGTCTACTTTGTCAATTATAACATGCCGGGTCTATTTCTGCTCCCCAAAATCCCCCACCTTTTCTCGGATCTATAGCAGGGTTGGGTCGACACTAATGCAACAGGGCTAAGTGGCGAGTTTAGGAATCATAGAACTCTAAGGGTTGCAGTCATGGTAAGTATACAACAAAGCCTTTGTCCCAAAACGACTTAGGGTAGGCTACCATGAATTGGTCATGATAAACATATTAACTTAAATGAAAGAAGCTTCAGTACTCAAATCATCACTTATCTTACTTCAATAAGGGGCAATTAAGGAAACAACTTTCATTCAGCATGCATCTGTCAATATTTTAACTGGATTCATCGTACAGCATTATGCATGAAAACAAACACTTTCTTCGAGAAAAAGTCACCAACCAAGAAACAGATACACATACACAACACTAAAGTAGACTTTCACAATTTATTTTGTATTTTTGTATTTATCCATTAACCCCAACTCTTTCTTTTCCTTTCAATTTACAATCAAGAAATTAAAACTACAGAAAGTAGAAGTTAAACTATATCAAGAAAACAATATGGAAATTTCCGGTCGTCTCAGCCCCCATTTAGAAGTTAAGAAAGTCATCACATCACTATTCCACAGTTGATCATGCGAGACCCAAGCAACTTCTCTTTCTTCCCACCGAATCTTTCAAAGAATCTTTATAACCCCGGTAACTTCAAAGGCCAGAGCCAAGCCTCTACACAAACCTCAAAGAGACATCTCCAAAAGTAACGAATAATATCACAGTGATGAAGAAAACATGTGAAAAGGATTCACTATTAGCCCAATAAGCAAGCAAACGTCAAGTGAGATAACCATCCTCAGCCCCTTTGCTTTTAAAGCGTTCAACCCATTCCTAATAACAGCTACATACAAATACTAGGACTATACAAAAGATTTAAGATATTCTCTTTTATTTAACCCTCCAACAACCACATAACAGCCACATACCTATGCCGTAAAAATTATTAATTACAGCATCTTTAATAATGTGTATATCTATCTTTCCCTGATCCAAGGACATGCAATCATATTTTCGATTGAAAGAAAAGAAAACAATAGGAAGAAAACTATTAATTATTTGGAAAAGGGTTAGTGTTCTCTATCATACTTACCATTGCTTTGACTCGTCATACTTTAATGTGGCAGGAATTGACACACGGGCAGAATCAATATTTCTTAAAGATCCACCTCTAACGCTCCATTCAATCTGTAAAACATAGAACAAAACAGAAGATAAACACTTAGAATCAGGATCAGACATAAATGGTAACAAAATTCAATCATGACAATGCTATGGATAACATCTGAAATCATGGATACCATATGTTTCTTTTAAATGATTTCATTTAGCAGCACAAGCATCCCAAGTTCCAAACTTTGGACCTTTCCTCCTCTAGGTCAGGATCTTCAGTAATCATAAGCAAAATATATCCCCATTACTGATATACACTACCTTATTTCAGCTATCCATTGTCTTTAACATACCCGCATCCTACACTCATAGAGGTGGGCAAAAAATCCAATCTGATATTCTGATTGACCCGATCCATGATCCAACCGATTTGATCCAAAATTTCGAATATTCGATCCGGTTATTTATGTTTTAGATATTATGATCAGATATCCAGAAAATTTTGGATAGGATTCGGATCAGCTTTTGAAATTTTCGAATATTTGAAAAATCCAGTTTTTAATTTTTTATTGATAGATAATTTTTCCTTAAATTAAAATATTAAACCACCACCGATTTAAAATCTCAGATATCTGGAGAAAAAACAGATATCCGAATCAATATTTTAATGTTCGGATACGGCGGATCAAATATCCGGATTGTTTCATCAAATTTCTCTCGGTCCGAAATATTAGGATATACGATTTTTCATATAGGACTAAATATCTGGTTTGGCCACTGTCACTCAATAAACTCGCCAAAATACCTAGCACTTCAATTTTCATCAAGGCACCAAAATAATTGTTACTCAAGTGCGCCAAAATATTGGAAGTAGAGTATGGTGCCTGAATGCATGTATCTTACCAATTTTGAAGGATAACATACATGACATGGGTGTAAAATGGAAAAGAAAGATAAAATAAAAGTAATTTTTGCGTAGAACTACCCTAAAGATAGGCTATTTTGTGAACAACTACCCTTTTTTAAAAATTTTATATAGAACTACTCGTAAGATCGCAAAAGTTTGTCAAACACTATCCATAAACGATTTTCGTCTAATTAGCCATTTGTTGGGCCCACTTTTACTATATCCCATCCAATTAACTCCTCTCTTCAATTATCTCTCCTCCTTCATTTACTTTACCTCCAATTTCAGTCCTCTTCTTTTACCTCCTACCTTTAATTTCACCATCTTAATCTGACCTAAACAAATCTCCAAATTCAATTCACCCCCTTTTCTGAAAATTGACAGAGCCTAAAACCCTTTTCTTTGCTATCTCTCTCTTTCCTACTCATAATCTTGTTGTTTGGGTAATTTGATATTTAAGGGTGAAACTACATCAATGGATAAAAGTAAGGATAAATTACTGAACATGTGGAAAACCTAGTTTTTATTGCTCAAATTAGAGCCCAATATTTTTTAATTGATGAAACAAAACCCCTAATTTAATTCAAGCCTTAAACCCTAGAAATTAAAATCCCTAAGCTGAATTGAAGCCCAAAACCCTAGATTGAATCCCTAATTATGTTAACAGTAGTAAATTAAAAACCCTAAACTAATTAAACAAACCAAGAATTAAAATAGAGCTTAAAATATTACATGATTTAGTGAGAAACTGTATTGAATTGCTCAAATTTGGTTCTCTTAGAATTTTGGATGAGTTTGGAGGGAAAGTATATGAGGGATTTAATTGAGTGGAAAATCGTAATAGTAGGCCCCACAAACGGTTCAATTGGACGAAAATCGTTTATGGGTAGTTCTAAACAAATTTTAAAAAACGAGCAGTTGTTCACAAAATAGCCTATCTTTAAAGTAATTTTGTGAACAACTACCCTTTTTTAAAAATTTTATATAGAACTACTCGTAAGATCGCAAAAGTTTGTCAAACACTATCCATAAACGATTTTCGTCTAATTAGCCATTTGTTGGGCCCACTTTTACTATATCCCATCCAATTAACTCCTCTCTTCAATTATCTCTCCTCCTTCATTTACTTTACCTCCAATTTCAGTCCTCTTCTTTTACCTCCTACCTTTAATTTCACCATCTTAATCTGACCTAAACAAATCTCCAAATTCAATTCACCCCCTTTTCTGAAAATTGACAGAGCCTAAAACCCTTTTCTTTGCTATCTCTCTCTTTCCTACTCATAATCTTGTTGTTTGGGTAATTTGATATTTAAGGGTGAAACTACATCAATGGATAAAAGTAAGGATAAATTACTGAACATGTGGAAAACCTAGTTTTTATTGCTCAAATTAGAGCCCAATATTTTTTAATTGATGAAACAAAACCCCTAATTTAATTCAAGCCTTAAACCCTAGAAATTAAAATCCCTAAGCTGAATTGAAGCCCAAAACCCTAGATTGAATCCCTAATTATGTTAACAGTAGTAAATTAAAAACCCTAAACTAATTAAACAAACCAAGAATTAAAATAGAGCTTAAAATATTACATGATTTAGTGAGAAACTGTATTGAATTGCTCAAATTTGGTTCTCTTAGAATTTTGGATGAGTTTGGAGGGAAAGTATATGAGGGATTTAATTGAGTGGAAAATCGTAATAGTAGGCCCCACAAACGGTTCAATTGGACGAAAATCGTTTATGGGTAGTTCTAAACAAATTTTAAAAAACGAGCAGTTGTTCACAAAATAGCCTATCTTTAAAGTAATTATACACAAAAATTCCAGGAAATTATGTTGAAGATCACAATTATAACATAAACTATTAGACAAGTTAAACTGGAATGAAAAGAAAAAAAACACTTTTGAAAACAGGAATGTATATCATCAATGCTGTATCACCAAACCTGTTTCCATTATTTGGTGTCCCATATCCATAATTTTGAGCCTTAACATGTTTGACACTTGGATATCCAACATTAGCATTGTATTACCCTTCACCAAGTAGCATAGAGTATTATGATACTTTTTTTTGTATTTTTTTTATTTTGGAATTCTGCAATTATTCATGACCAGCCTGCTTTTCTATGGAGTACATTGTCAGGTGTACAATGAGAAGATTGCTTTTCTATGGTTCATGGTTCAACAGGTAGACCTATTATTATCAAGATTAATCAGGCTCATCATCTTGTATTGGATTGGTATAAGCAATAATATGTTTAGAATCTTCAGAACATCAGATAGTTGGATTGGCAAAAAGATAAACCATCCATGACTTCAGGTTGTCTAGCAAGCTCAAAAAAGGTAGGGTGAAATTTTTTCTTTGTATGAACTTAACCTTATCTCCATTAATTTCTAACCCTTCTAAATCATCAATAATTAAACATTTTTTTATAAAATCACCAAATGTCACCATTCTACTCTCCATTATACTTTCCTGTGTTTCTTTTAAATGCAACACACCATGGCACACACTTGGTAAACAGATAAATTATTGAAAATAATTTATACATGTGGCACCTAATCCTTCTCTAATCTTGGTGTTCATATTATTTTGTTAAAGTTGCTCGTTTATTTACACTAATCAATTCCTAATAAGCGTGTCAAAAAGATGAGTTGCCTTTAAAAGAAAACAGAGGAAGTACAAGAGAGGTACAGCCTTATGGACAAAGACCATCAAGCTACAAAGAAATTATTAAAGCTAGAGACAGATACAAAAATGCGTTCAAGCTAATGAGTCATAGATGATCACATTAACACCAGTTACCATGCTTTGTTTCTGCAAAGGACTTCAGCCATATCTCTTTTTCTATTCTTCTCTACCTAATTTTTGTACCACACATTAATCACCTTATTCTTCAGTGTAAGGTACAATAAGAATGCTAACAGAAAAGGAATTGAATAAGGAAAAAGAAGGTTCATTTCACGTTCACTAATAATAGTTAAATTCAGTGGATCATGAAAGTTTAATATTATTATCTGATATCAAAAAAATATTATTATCTGATATCAGGAAATAATTTAAGGCAGAACGGGGGCATCTTAAATTATAAATTGTAGATCCTCTGACAAGGGAAATCTACTTACAGCTTTTTCCACGGTTGCAAAATGCTTTGATCTGCTTGATAGAATTTTTCGCATGTGGACCAATGAAGCCAAGGCTGTTCCCTGAAATTTTCATGATTTTAGGCTGGATAAAATACATATCCAGGAACAATACCAAAAGTATAAAGTGTATATATGTCAAACCTCAACAACATCCACAACTATAAGTCCAGCCAAGCTACTTAATGTCTTCTTTGCAGCAACATGCACAGCAACAGAACCTCCCATGCTGTCATAACATCAATAATCATATTATGACTATATCAAACAAGTGTGTATGTACCGGGAAAAGCTAGTAACAAGCATATTTTATATATATATACTAAGGTACATAGTAATAAATAAAAAAGTCAAATATTTTTTGTTTTGAAATATTAAGGTACATATTTTATATATATATACCTCCTTTTTTTTTTCAGGTGAATCGCTTTTGTAATTGCGGACTCCTAGGCAACTTTTTGGAGTAGAGAGAGAAAAAAATAAAGAGGGCCCATGTGATAGGAGAGAGATATCAATCAATCAAAGTCTTATTCTCATAAGTGGGGTCGGCTATATGAACCAAATTTGATTATTTAGTGTAGTCATCCACAAAAATCTTCCTTCTTCATCCCTTACGATCCAATGCTTCATCCTCATGTAAATCCATATACTCCATATCCTTCCTAACTCCTTCCAACTAAGCCATTTTCGGTCTCCCTCTCCCTCGTTTAACCTCCCCATGGTCCCACTCTTCCACTCTTTGAACCAGTGCACCTTCCAGTGGCGATTCCAGCTGAACCCATACTGGACTTCTGAAAATTCTACAAAGTCTGGAAAATAAAAAGGATATAATACCAATTAATGCGCTGATATTACTGATTAAGGTTGTGTTGGATCAGTGGTTGAAGGCACGCGTGAAAGCCTTGCTTCTTACACAATTGACGCAGGATCAAACCTTCTCCCTGACATTTTTTTTTTATAAAATATCTTGTTGCATTTGCTACCTGGCTGTTGAGTTGGCCAGTAAACCAAATTCATTTCAAGGGAATTTTATTGTTATTGTTATTGTTATTGTTATTGTTATTGTTATTGTTATTGTTATTGTTATTGTTATTATTATAGTTATTATTATTATTATTATTATTATTATTATTATTATTACTACTACTTTGTAAATTGTAATTTCGCTTTGTTTACTTAGTCATTTATGATTCATTGGATTATATATAATATTAGTTGCAAATTTGCATGAATGACAAGCTGTTGTCCCGAATTATAGTTGTAACTTTTAATTTGGTCACTAATTGTTTTGTTCTATTTTATTTGACCTGCTTCATTTTTATCAATGTATAAATCTAATATAATCATTAGTATATTTAATTTAATTCGAAATAAGTAAAAATTATAACTAATAGATATTGTGATAAGACTTATTTTAACGAGGTTTTCAAAAAAAAAAAAAAAAGACTTATTAAGACGATTTAAACAAAAACCTACGTGGCTATGCTTTAACTTACATATAAATCACAAAAGGTGATCAAAGGTGAATGTGATTAGTGAAAAAGTTAAATTATGTGAAATAAGAAACAACAAAGGAAGTACATTATTTTACGCTCGAGAACTCCGAACCCATAACAAAGAATTCCTAGAATCGCCACTGGCACCTTCGAGTATACGTCTTACATGCCCAAACCAACACAGATTTTCCTTTAGTTTGTCAGCAATGTCTGCCACACCTACTTTCTTGCGAATAACCTCATTTCTGATTCTAAGAGTGTTCCCGCACATCCACCTTATTATTCGCATTTTCGTAACCTCCATCTTTTTAATGTGCTCCTTCTTAGAAGCCTAACATTCTGTACCATAGAGCAACACTGGTCTTATGGCAGTCCTCTAGAATTTTTCCTTCAAAAGTAAGGGAATGTTTTGGTCGCATAACACTCCCGTGGCCGCTCTCCACTTAAGCTACCCCGACTTAATCCTATGGGCCACGTCTTGATCAATGTGACCATTTTTCTGGATGATCAACCCAAGATACTTAAAACATCACTCATGGTCAACTCCTTTCCATCTAAAGTCACCACTTCAACGTTTGTCCCATTCTGGGTACCAAAGCGACATACTAAATATTCATTCTTACTCTTATTTAACTTAAACCCTATAGAGAGAGAGAATTTATTAACTAAAAGGAAAAGTGATGCATCTAAATTAAAACTTTCATTTACAAAAAGTGATGCATTTAAAAAAAACGGAGGAAGTACTTATATACATGCCTTAAAAGTATAAGGTTATATCCTAAAAGTACACGGTACATGCCCGGAAATTATTTTTTTCTAATAAAATATTTCTATCCGTGAATATTAGATTTTTTAAAAAAATCTTGAGGTTCATGTCATATAGCTATAAGGTACATACCCACAAGATACAAGGTACATGTCTTAACATAATAGGGTACAACACATTAAGCAAATAATAACAATCATAATTTTTGTAGCCACAATGATGGAGTGCTAAGGAACACTTACAACTTTAACATTATTTACGACAAGAGCTAACATGTTTTTAGGCACGAAAATATCCTACAAAAAGGTGCCCATCTCTATAAGGCTATTAAGTCAACTTTCTAATATCTAGCACCTCCTTGTATCCCTTTTTAGTGGACATGTTTTGACTTTTAGCAACCATCTTTATGAAAATACACGATAACATTAGAATACTCTTGAGATATATATTTTAAATATATTAGGTTTTTTAAACTATTATACTGGTCAAAAATTTTACATTGCCAATTCCGAAATGGGTTTTCCGTAGTAGTCCCAAGCCTGGATAAAGGAGGGTTACGATAGGCCATCGGCAACTTTGTCACGTCGCTTGACATGAGCCATATGATTGAGAGCATTACTCGGATGGGTGACCTCCTCAGAACTCTTTATGTTGGTTCATGTAGCCGACCCCACTTAAGAAAAAGAAGAAGATTAAAATGCACGAGCACCTCTACGTGCTCTATATGAGGGCCTTGAATGACAAGGGAAATTCTCTATCAAATTTCTTTTTATGGATCGTGAATCAAAATCCAAAAACATTTAGCTCCTCCATTAAATCCACATAAGCTTGATGCTTTAAAATTGATATAAAGCTTACTCCGTGGGATTGAGAAAGAAAGGTGGGATCTATAAGAATAAGTGAGGTACTTGCAAATTTGTACTATAGGAGTCATGAGTTAGAAACTTCATTTTATACTTTGAGTTTTAGAATTAGGATCCTATAATCTTGGTATGAAAATCTAGTGAGGAAAGATGGACATTCTATTTTAAGAGGAAAAACTCACAATAAAGAGGTTAAAGTAGGAGAATGGTTCATGGAGAGTCAATGAAATCATTAAGGAAGAAATTTGAGGAAGAGAGTGACAAATAGGCTCATGTAAGTCTCATGAGGGGGAGGGGGCAGTAGCAAAGCCAATTAAGGAAAAGAGGGGGCATCTCCTTGAATGAATACATTTCCTTGGTTTTGTTCTTCATTTTGGTAGTTAAAAAGTGCTACTCACGCCTCGTCTTGCAAAGAGTAAGGGTTATAAAACAAGAGTTGGTTTCTCCATGCAAGCTAATATTTCTTTTCATCTCAGGTAAATCTCTTCTCTATTATGATCCTGACTTATGAACCTTATGTCTATGTTTATCTACTTGATTGTTGATTAATTCTTCAAGCCAAACAATTAAATAAAGTAACAGGAAACCTATTGGTATGTCTTGCGCAGCAATTTTTCCTTAATTTATATAGACAAATATATGTGAACTAAGCTAACAAAAGGAACATACTAGTACTTAAGGTGAAGAAAATGAATATAAACCAGAAAATGAAGATTAAAGAAGAGAGGTATTTCTTTAGTTGATTTTCAGTGAGTGGTGAAACAGGTAATCAAGACATTTGAAAGGCCATGAACTCTGCTAAACAAAAAACTTAATTAAATTCTCAGGATATTTACATTACTATCATCACCATATTCTTTCCTCCTACCACCCTCAATTAACCTCCCCCCGCACTAGAACCACATCTAGCATACATCACCGAAATTGGAGGTCTGGATGAGGCCACAACAATACTCCACACATGTTTCAGAGCCATAGTAAGTTGATCAACTTGTAGTAAGTACTTTATATATGTACTATGTGATTTGTAAGAACCAGGGACGATACTCCATAAACGCTAATGGCTAATGACCCCGTCCTGATAAAGGGCAAAGAAGAATTTAATGCTTAAATCGCTAATTTGACCACCTAGCCTGTTGGCAGCTCTTTATAACAGGCATTTTCAAGGATGTTAGAGTAGGACAGCATTTTTGATTGGAAACAGTAGAATGTAATGTCCTCTTTGCAATTAATGGAGTTATCTCTCATCCCTCCCCTTTGCTCATAAAAAGTCCATCCCTTAGATGAATTCTGACTAAAATATATTCCCTACCCTATTGGAAATAAACATTTGTAGCATGAGCCAAAATTCAATGTCTTAACAAAATGCAATTAGAACCAAGCATTCTCCAGTAGAAATGAATCTTGATACATAGGGCAGAGAAGTCAACCACACAATTATAATTTGCATATAAATAGATAAGAAGCAAGTTTGCAATCAGGAACAAACCTGTGGCCAATGAGTACGATTGCTGGAGGTGAATCTCCATACATGGTGCTCAGAACAGCCAACACATCCGCGCATAACGTCTACAGATGACAATATACAACTTATTTCAAGGAAGTTCTGCTATCAGAAGAAATATATCTCATATGCAACAAGTTTATCACCTCAATTGATAAGTCCAAATCATTATCTGTAACTGATTTTCCATGCCCTCTCAAGTCCATTGCCACAACCTGAGCTTTTTCCTTAATCTTACTCGCTGACAATGCAAAGGAAAGCCTGATCAAATGAATATCATAAATTAGATAGGCCAACCTAAACAAAAGCACCTGTTACAGTATGCCACTTAGCAATATCAAAAAGGAAACTTTGAAATGCTGGAGAAAGGCATATTTTAAGTGATATAAAACATTACTCCCAATTGCAATTTCTCCCTCTCTCCACATGCTTGATTTTCATCTTTAATCAGACAGTGAGAAATCAATCAATCAAAGCCTTAATCCCATAGGTGGGGTCGGCTATATGAACCAAATTTGATTGATTGATTTCCAAATTCCACTAAAAATAACTATGTAACTAAATTATACTTAATAACTATCCAAAGTTTAACTTAATTTATTTAGAAAATGGCTTGATATTTTTGGGACGGACTAAAATTAAAAAAAAAATGTCCCCTATTATCTAATAAGAATGAAGTATTAAACTCCAAATGAAAATTACATTCATATGTTTCGTTAAAACCAAAGAATTGGAACTTTAAGTCTGTGAAAATATAAGAAAAATAATAGAAGCATAAAACAGAAGCAACACATCACAAATTAAAGAAGCAAAATTTCATGATAAGCATCTTTGCAATAAGAAAATTTCTGAAATTCTAGGTACCCAGAATATCCGCCTCCATGCAAACAAAATATAACTGGCCCTTCTGAACCAGCCTTATATACATGAAAGACCTGTTATCAAACAAAATATAAACACATAAGTAGCAAAATCTAAATAAAAAATGACTAACAGGAAATGAAGTGATTTTATTCAACTTAATATTTCCAAAACTAAAAAAAAAAATTAAAAAAAAAATTATTTCATACATTTTCGGTGTCTGGTATGCAAATATCATCCTCATGGTCAAAATAGCTTGTCCAATCCAACGGCGAGTATTTAGGGAAACTACTCCTGCATTAAGAAATAGTATAGATATGTATATCCATTATTTCAGCAGATTGGTGCAGATTATTTGTGTGGCCGAATAAGTAATAACACAATCGAATCAGTAATGCAAAACAGTTATCCGAACATCGACAACAGAATTTGTTAGCACTTTCTATGCAGACGCCGTTAAGAGCCCAACTTTTGCTCTTAATAATAAACACGACTACAAAGTACAACGGTTTGACAATGTATAAATGTATAATAGTATTGAAAACCATGCCATTACAATAACTTTGCACTCAATTCTATCAAAAAATTACCAACACTCGATTTTTTCGCCTAAAACTATCAATGCCTCAAAAATTAATAGTAACCTAAATCATCTAAAGATTTTAAACTAAGCCAATAACATCACCACTGACATTCAAGAATAATCAATACATCCATGCTACAAATAAATTCTTTTTAATATTAACAAATCAAAATAGTACTGAACACTCAAACAAAATGTGCAGGTTTATGAAATCAAAATAATTTCGAAAATTAAGTAGTACTAGTCAATATTTCCAACAAATTTATGCGAAAAACATTAAGAAATTTGATTAAAGCAACTTCGCATTGAACAATCAAATTAAAACAAAATTCATACAGTATTAAAAGTGTTGAAAATGCTTAATCTAATTTCAGCATGAATACTAGGAATAAAATTAGGGAGAAAGAGAGAATTACTGGAGCGGATGACGAGGAGGAATGTTAGAGAAAGCAGAATTTGAAGAAGGTGAAGAAGATTGTTGAGATTGTTCTTCCGATTCCTCCGATAACGGTGTCAGATTGCCGGAGGTCTCCATTTTTGTGAATTCTTATGATCACTGATCACTCTCTATCTCTCTTTCTTGTTTCGTTTGGTATTGTTCTTGAGATGGCACAATTTTTAATGAAAAGGATTCTCTACTACTCCTAGACTACTCCGTGTACTTGTACTACGGAGCATTGGACAGGTGGCAATCGAGTTATTTAGATCGGATTAATTAGGTAGATGAATTTTGTTTCAATCAGTTTGATTTTAATGTGTGGTTAGTGCGTCCGGGAGCACCATGCCGAAAAAACATATGCAAAAAAAAAAACATTGTGTAAGTTTGATATTTATAAAGAACGCGAGTATAATATGTTCTTTAAGTTTGATTATTATGTTCTTTGAGTTTATGTTCTTTACAGTATACAATATGTTTTTTAATGTATTTACAAAAAAAAAGAATTTAAAAAAATAAATAAATAAAATCACCCGAGTAACCTGGATAAAGAACATGTTCTTTTTGTAAAGATTTTATGTTCTTCGGGTACTAGAGGTGATCAAAGTTAGACCGGCCCGGCCCGATTTTGGACGGGATTTGGGAATAATTTTTTTAGTTCCTATTCACTACATCCCCCTTTGGCTAGTAATACCTACTCCCCCCCCCCTGAAATTACTGAAAAACCCTTCCCCCACTAACCACACCCCACTAACTGCAGTTACCATCCACTTCCCACGGTAACTGCAAGTAAATGCAACTTCCCACCCAAAAAAATCATATATATACGAATTAAAAAAAAAAATTCAAAAAGCTGATCAAATTCTACACTCTTCTTCATTTTCTCTCTCCATTTTCTCTCTCATCAAACGTATGAACAAGCAAAATTCATACTAATTTCTGCACTTTCTTACAATTGATCAACAATGAGTACTCTACAAGAAGAACATGCATTACAAAAATCTACTGAAAAATCAGAATCGTAAGTATTTGAGCAATTTTTTGCAATTAAACCCTAATTTTTTGAAATTTTGTTCAATTGCAAGTTTATTTGTTTAATTTTTTGGTAGAACACAAAAGGAAGATCCAATAGAGGACAAAGAAGATCCTGAAGCTTTGTAAGTGAACAATATTAAGAATTAAACACTTAATTTTTTAAGATTTTGTTCAAAAAAAAGTAAGAAAAGTACTAATTTGTATAATGTGTTTTGCAGAAAACAAAAGCAGGACGAGCAACCAGAAAACAAAGATCCTCTGGTTGATCCTAAACTTTTGCAAGACATAATATCGTCCAGTGGTCCTCCTGAAAAAGAAATGTCTTCAATTCCAAGGTATAATGATCAATTATGAATTACTAAATGTTCATATACCTGTTTGAAGTTGTACATTTGAATGTTGATTTTTAATTACATAAATATACATGTTTGTACTTGCACATTTATACATATATAAATGTTCATTTTACTGCAAAACTATGAACATGTACATATTCATTTATGAAAACATATATACAATTGTACATTTTATTGTAAACTTATGAACAAATATATTAATATGATACTTTTTTCCTATTAAAATGCAAATCACTGTAATTAAGAAAAATGAACATTTATATTTTATAAAATGATCAATTACAATTTGTGTTGTAAAACTAAATAAATATGCATGCAAACTGATATATTGATGGTAACTTTTGATATTGTAGTGTTGAACCATGTAAAGTGAAACACGTGATGAAATTTAGATATGGAAATTCTGAACCTAAAATTGAACAAGAGATTATGCAGCCAATTATTTCCAATGAAATAAAAGAAGACCATAGTTGTTTTGGGGTTTTTTGTACGTACCCGAGTGGAGGGCGTGTACGTCCCGCGGGAGACAGATCCGCAATGCAACACTCGAACGGCCCGGTCACCTGCAAAACAACGAACCCCGGGGGGCCGGAGGTCCGCCTCCGACGATCAAGTCAGTGATCGAAATAATGTATTTCAGAGAGAGAAAGTAGAGAGAAGAGAGAGTAATTGTGGGGGGCATTGCCCTTGGAGAGAGAATTGGATCCCCTAAAACTGATGTAATGATCAGTATTTATAGAGCATTGGGATATGTGCCTCTTAGGTTATTTAACCTAAGTAGATTGGCTTCCCACCGTTTTACGGTTTCTAGGGTTGTGGGCTTAAAGCCCATTTTCACCCTTCTATCATTGAGTGACACGTGTCATGCTCTAATTGGCTCATTGAGCGCTGAGCTTGCGGACACGTGTCGAGGTGGCATTGGTGCACATATAGGGGGTATTTTTTACCCCCAAACATTAGCCCCTCGGAAGGGGTAATTTCTTTTTCAAGAGGAATTACTCCTTTCGAAATCAAGGCTTTATTTTCCGCTTGTTCAAAAGCTCTATGGGCGGCATATGTCTAGTTCAATAAAAGAGAGATTTGATTAACTTGGAAAATCTGATACCTTAAATGGTATGATATTTTCCAAGTTAATCAATCATAATAATGATTGCCGCCTGAACTAGACAGATGACGACTTTTATTTCTTTTAGCCCCACTATGGTGGTCATATGACCTTTGGGATACTTAGAATATTTTTGAGACGCTTGACATCCCATAAGGCAGGAGGCGAATGGCTGCCTGGGGGCAGGAGGCAAATGGCTGCCTGACTCTTCATAGGGAAGGAGGCAAATGCCGCCTGGGGGCAGGAGGCAAATGGCCGCCTGAATCTTCATAGGGCAGGAGGCAAATGGCCGCCTGACTATTCACAAGGCAGGAGGCAAATGGCCGCCTGGGGGGCAGGAGGCAAATGGCCGCCTGACTATTCACAGGGCAGGAGGCAAATGGCCGCTTGGGGGGCAGGAGGCAAATGGCTTCCTGACTATTCACAGGACAGGAGGCAAATGGCCGCCTGACTATTCACAGGGCAGGAGGCAAATGGCCGCCTGACTATTCACAGGGCAGGAGGCAAATGGCCGCCTGACTCTTCATAGGGCAAGAGGCAAATGGCCGCCTGACTATTCACAGGGCAGGAGGCAAATGGCCGCCTGACTATTCACAGGGCAGGAGGCAAATGGCCGCCTGGGGGGCAGGAGGCAAATGACTTCCTGACTATTCACAGGGCAGGAGGCAAATGGCTTCCTGGCTGTTCATAGGGAAGGAGGCAAATGCCGCCTGGGGGCAGGAGGCAAATGGCCGCCTGACTCTTCATAGGGCAGGAGGCAAATGGCCGCCTGGGGGCAGGAGGCAAATGGCCACCTGACTATTCACAAGGCAGGAGGCAAATGGGTGCCTGGGGTGTTTGTAATCCAATTATACTTTCAATGTCTTTCTACCCCATTGGGAGGACTTGTATAATTTTAGAAGGTAATCTAGGTTAGAACTTTGGTCGATCACCGGCTGATGTCTTTTGGACATTCGGTGTTCCGAACACTTAGTCGTTCTTTAGATTGTTCTAGTCAGACGGCTATGAGTTGATCAATTTGGTCGTTCAATCTTTGCCGTCTGCATAGGTACGTAGAGCAAGCAAGTAGGCTGCTCTCTGCGACGATTGCACCCGGAGGGGTGTCGTCGGACGCCATTATCCATGTTGGGACAGACGATTTTATGAAAAAATCAACCATCCGGCCATTGGCCTCTAGTCTAGGTTGAGACCGGCTGTATAGCCACTAAGCGGTTTTGTGCCTAGTTTAGTTATCTGGCTATTGGTCGCATGTCACTTGGACGTTGAATTTGTTACTAAGTTTCAAACTTAGTTTATTATCTGGCCATTGGCCTCACGTCACTTGGACGATAATTTAGCTACTAAGTTTCAAACTTAGTTTATTATTGGAGTTTGGACGATCCGTCAAATTATATTGAAATTCAATCAATGAATCAATAATAACAATTATAATAATAACAATAATAATGAAGACTATCATTACTATCTTAATGCATTAATATTATTGGAGGGAATAAAATTGTATCATATGGTTACCTCCAATATTCAAACGCTTGGTGCGGCTTTGAATTGCTTTGAAAGCTTAAGAATCGGAGCCGGAGATATCGCAAGCTCCTTATTGCAGTACCATGCGGCATTTGTCATTTCATGCCGCTTGCTTTGAACTTAATTTGCCGCCTGTGCTAGCTTATACATGTTTGAACACAAGTTCTCGAAGGTTAGTAGGCTTTGAGATGTCAAGCAACTGAGCTTGAAGAATGATTTTGATCACTGATTACACAGGCGGTTATTTTGCATAATAATGATGAAAAAAGCAGCCCCTGCTCACATAAGAGAACGCATCCAAATTGGCTTTAGAGCCGTTTGAGTGCAGCCGGCTTTAATTGAGACAAGAAGCAGCCCACAGCCGAGATGGATAAATGAGCAAAGCAGCCTCTACATTCGGTAGGTGCGGCTGCTCTCTCAAGGGGAGCTTCTTTGCATCAGATTGGAGGTCGAGCGGCTCCATGATTACCGACTGAGTGAGCTCAACCAATGAGATATGGAGTTGAAGTTCGCTGCTAGAACAATTAGAGATTGCTTGCTCACTACTTAGACGGCATGTCGTCATATGTATAGCAACAGTCACTTGACCAAGCTTGCACATTAATAACCACAGCCGTATAAATAAGAGTAATATGTAATGTCAGCTGGCTCTTTCTCTTTTTATGATGAAGAAAGCTTCCACGCAGCCGGACATAATTGATTGGTCAAGCTCAACGAGCCAATGTGTCACGGTCCGCGAGTTTGGACCCCGAAACGTGCGGCGCGCTCTAGCCTTTTGGCGGCAAGAACGCTAGCCTTGAGCGGAAGAGGGGCTTGTGAGCACAAAGCAACACAAGCGGGCAATAGAATCTCAGGAGCACTCACGTCTATCTGGGCGACGGAGTGCGGGTGGTCGGGGCTTGTGACGGCCGATACTTCAAAGCGGGCACAAGCGGGTCCGAACCACGAGTCCTTAGCGCATCAAGTTGGGTTGGAGGGGAGCTAATATGCAAGTAAGACACAATATCTATAAAGGTCTAACAACAAACAAGCATAAAAGCAAGGCAACACTTGGTAGAAGGCTTTAAGATTTCATTAATCATTCGCCCTCTAAAGAGCTTTAAATGACATACAAGGAGAATCCCTAGTGAACACTGATCTGACAGTAACACAATAATGGGACCTCAAGCTAAGAAAACATAACCTAAACTCTAGGAAAGCACTTAAATGGAATCTAATACATCAAAAGGAGTTGGATTCTAACATC